AGAACCCATTTTGGTTTAGAAATGGTCTTAAATTGAGTAAAGCTTGTTTGTTTTCTTAAAGGAACCGTGAGATAACATGCAAAATATTAGTTAGCAGTTTTCAGGAGGGAGTTTGGGAGGAGAATTCTACTTTACCCAGGGTTAGTTTTCAACAACCCTTCCTGGACCATTGTGCAAGCATCAGGTATCCTGTAGGTTAAATGGGATTAAGATATGGGAAGAATTTTAAAGAGATGTGATTACCCTCCCTAAACATGAAACCCTGAACCTTTCTGGGGGTCTGGGAGGAAAACAGAAGCCAAATTTCATGTAGGCAGTAATACTTGAAAGAGCCAGAGTCAGGTCTGACATCAGAGTTAGTCCTAGATATAAATCCTCAGTGGAATCCAAATATTTGCTTTATCCAAATCTGCACCTAGCTGGAAGTGACAGTGCTATACATTTTTTGCAATCAGAGAGGAGAAAAAGTACTTGGAGGAATGTTTCTCTGGGAGCCGACTTCCGTAATGGAATTAAAGTAGAAATGTTACAGAAAATAATGCAGATTTATAGCTGGGAGTGAAAAGAGTATCTTAAATGGGCGATTTCTGTTGGTACTAATAAAAGCTAAGCAGATAAATCCCATGGGTAAAAAGACCCATTCATATTCAAATGACCACAAGTAGCAAAACTAATCACCAAAACTTTTTCATAATGAATGGGATCCTGCAGTCCTTTCATATGGATTGGAATTCTTAATGCAAAAGGATTGCAGTATTGAGTCTAATTTTTGTTTAAAGTAAACTATAATCTCTCCATTCATCTCTGTGTTTTTTGCAAAGAAAATGTTGGATCAGAGCTGGACTCAAGAAAGAAAAAAGAGGCTGGATGGTTTGAGAGGAGTGAGGGTTGCTTGTTTTGTGGGGGTTGGAAGGTGTGTACATGTGGTTTCTAGAAAGAGACGGCACTAAGGTCTCATGAGAGGCCATCACTTAACATTTCAGTATCTGAAGAGAAACATTATTATAGCCTGAAGACTGATGAGGTCACTTCTTATCACAAATGGGATAATTTCCTGTTGAAAACCCTGTGTTACTTTCTGTAGAAACTCTCATATTAAATTCTGTATTAATTTATTGTTTTTAAAAGCACAACTCAATATCAATATTAATTTAAGAAGATTTATGAGTGTGTAATGGTGCTTACTCTGCTGAATATTCCATGCATTTAACAAGGGGAAACGTGCTCTTTAAAAAAGTCTTGTAAATGGGGATATGTCGATGAACACATTCTCATGCACATCTTCTTAAAACCGTTTTTACTAATGTCTGAGATAAAGGAGATAAAATTTAAAAAACAGAAACATGAATAGATGCTAAGAGCAGGTACTAATGTGCTAATTTAAACCTTTTTGAATTTTCTAATGTCCTTCACACTTTCATAGTTTTTAAAGGTATGATTTTTCACATATATATTACTATTGGAGGCTATGTCTGCAAAACAAAATAATAATAATAACATAAACTTAAACCCGATTTTAAAAAATCTTTAAAGATGTGGTGGGGAATAGTTATGCCCTTTCTGGTTTTCAGGAAGGTCTAGGATTGATTCATAGAAGCAATTTCATCCAGTCTACCCTTTATAACTCTGTCACCCTTTCCCATTTCCTCTGCACCTGAGTTTTGCCAACCTCTCTTCCTGGAACAGTTTCCTACCTTGCTGAAGATATTTGAAGCACAAGATGATTCAAGTTGGAGAGTGTAAAATCAAATTTCGTAGCAGTGTAGAGTCTTCCAACACTGGTTTGACCTAATTGTCTTAGCCTAATGTGCCCTGCATTAGGGAGATTTCATATGACTTGTAATTTTTCATCCTTTTTTTCAGTCACTCCCCCCAAAACAGAAATATACATTATTATTGGGGCAAAAGGAAAGAGGTCCTGTGCACCTGTAACTACCACTGGGCCAAATCCTTAGATACGTACTCCTTATTCTGGGAAAACTCCCATTGTCTTTATTGGAAAGTTTCCTGAGTAAAAACTGAGTCAACTCTAACTTAAGTCAATGGGAGTTTTCCCTAATAAGGAGTCAGTAAAAAGTAAGGATGTCAGAATTTATGTAGCCGTATGAGAGTTGCAATTGCTTTGCACCCCTCAGATTTTGGCAAATTAATATCTGGTCAAATCATACAATTTTAACTTCAACTCCTATAGACATCCTAAATTCTTATTGCCTCTGTAGCATTGATATAGTATCAGGCTCTCAGTACACACTCGGTCCTTTCTCAGAGAAAACTTTCTGGCTGCAGCAAACCAAATTTCCCTTAAGGAAGACAAACATAATTACTAACAGAGCAAATTCTGGTGGGGAGAAAGGAATAGTGCATTGATGAAAGGCCTGATAAAGAACCAAAATGCCTTACTAGTTGGTCATAAGAAATGTTACACCAAGAAATGAATTGTGTCCATAGTGTATTGTGTCTACATCCATCATTATTGCTATTCATCCAAGGACAGCAAGACCATTTCCCCCCAGTTCTCCACAGGGGTCCATCCTTTACCATCCTTGACTTGGTATGTGTTGCCCCACCAGCATGAGGACTTTCAGAAGAGGAGTTTATCTGCTGGAACAAGAAATTGAAGAAACACCTGGCTTCCATGATTGTCAAAGAAGCATTAAGACCATGACCTCAGTCTGTATTAATCAGCAGATGCTTATTAATGTAAAGACATAAAACTCTTGTTCTGCTGCTGAATATTTTTCTGTCTAGTTTAGTTTCTTGTACATATATTCTCAGCACTTTCTCAAGTCATTTCCCAGTCCCAGTATTGAATGTGGCTTAAGATGTCAGTTCATGAAGATATGCTCATAAAAGTAAAGAACTGACTTTTGAACGCTTTATTGGTGTTGATATGATTTAGGTGTGCAGGGAATATGCATACAGATAACTGACCGTCTCTGCAGTCATTCTGAGGCACCATGGTACATTCCTAATGTGATATGAAGCATGATTGATAGAGTGCATTTCCAATATTTTACTTTACCTTTCCAGTTTAGTCAAAGAAGCCAGTCACGGTTGGCAGGCACCTGAGACTAGGATAGAGGAGCATATACAGCACAGAGCACTGTGTGTCAGCCCACTACTTAATTGGATGTTTCTTCCATAGGAGAAGTATTCATAGCAGTCTTGTGAAAGGACACTTGCCCACAATGGACTTCCTTCAGGGAAGAAGAGAAATGGCTGACTTTCCAGGGTCACTATAGGTCATCTTCCCGTAACAGATTTTTTTCATGCCCAGCTGGCTGTGAGTCTGTCCTTTGCTCCAACCTAGCAACCAGACTTTTGTATGTTGAGTGTTACGACCGGAGGTATTAACCAAATCCAAGTTGTTTTCTGCTTTACCTCTGAATTTAAGGAAATGCAGCTAAATTTTTTTAATAAATCTCTTACCGTAACTTCTACGCTATATCAAACATGAATTTTTGTCAGATTAAGTCCTGTTAATGTCTATCACAGTAGCTCCCCCTCTCCCAGACAGTAGTTGGTGAAAACCACTTCTACCTGATTTTTTCCTGCAGAGGGCAGCTAGTACATTACTCAGTTAGCATTTCCAAGCTACACATGCCCAGGAAGGATTATGGAGCATGTGTGATTTAACACTCTCTGCTTCCCTTATGGTGGCATCTGCTGTTGAGTGGGTGGGGCATCTTGCCAGCTGTTAGTCACACATTTTTCAATGTCCTGTTCTTATATTGCCATACCAGAGTCTAGCATCTGATTTGGAATAAACAAATAAATATGAAGTCATTTTAACTGATTCCTTCTTTATCTTATACCACAGATGGGTATGTGGCATTTAGAAACAAACACACCCCAAGGCACGATTCCTGGACTTAGGTTTATTTAAAACAAACAAGCAATAGCACAACAGTTTACAATAGTGTTAATTCAGTGAGATGAGCTCTTATCCCAGCTTGCTATCATATTTTTTTAATGAAGGTCTTTTGCTTTGTATGTGCATTTCAGCCCTAAACAAAAGCGTGAGAGATTGACCTTGAACCATTTGACTCCATTTATTTGATCAAATTGTCTTAACATAAATAAAACATTAAATCAAAAATAAAGGCAGTCACAGAGTGTCTGTGGTTGGAGAAGAAGAAGAAGAGGAAACAATGAGCAAAACTCTGATTGCTCCTTTGTGTTGGAGATTGGGTTCAACCATGTGGTTCTGGGAGTTCAGATCCAAAGTTTGGTTTAAGCCCATCTTATTATTTATATTGTACTTTATGACCCTAACCCTAAAATACACCACATTAGACCATCTTGTTGCAAAACTCCGGTTGACTTCAATGGGTGCAGGCCCAAGCCTTGGGTAAGTAGGCACAAGCCTTTATGGAGGTTTGGTTGCCACTTCCTTCCCATTCCTGTCTTCCCTCCCATGTCTCCTGTATCCCCACATCCTATGACCCTCTTAGTTTGTTTCTGCTGTGTCTTTTTGACATCTCTTGCCTCAAATCTGTCCCTTTTCTCTCTTTCCATATGTATTTCACTCCTTCCCCACATATCTCCCACTCCCACCCACCCATCCACCTTCTCACCTACCAACTAGAAGATGGTCCAGAATGTCACCCGAGGCTACATGCCTGTGCAATTGACAATTTGTACCACATATATTGCCATCAGTGTTATACTCTGACCATCACATTTTTCAAAATTTTCAGCCTACATCACCAAGTTGCCCAGTGTCTCACATTGCAAATTAGATATTTGTGGCTTTTAACTAAGGTAGACAAAAGAGTGAGATCTTTTTCTTAAGATTTAAACACTTTGATCCTTCCAGAATTCCGCGTAATGAGTGAATAGCTTTTCTCCACCTCATTAAAGAAGATAAAGCTCTTTCTATATATATACATTTATTCATATTAAATAAATTCATAAAAACAAAAAAAATCTAGGATGTTTTTAATGATTTCATTGACTTTTCAGATTGTTTTTTTTAAGCTGTGTTTTAAACTTTAAAGGCAACACTGATAATGAACGGTTCCAAATGGTAAAACAGAAAATCCCCTTCAAATATAACCGGCCCGTAGAAGAGTGGCTGCAGGAAAAAGGTAACAGTCGTTAAAAGTTTCATTTTAAACCCATTTGATTCTAAACCCTTATTTTTAAAGCCTGCAAATAAATGTTTCTTAAATGATAATCGCCTGCTACATAAATGACTGTTTTAATTTTCATTATAATTTGTGTCAGCATCCACCTGCCATATGTTGATAACTCATGCTATAATACATTGCTATTAAAATGAAGTTAAAGGGACGGAATTCTAAGCTTGCTATCAAAAGTAACAACAAACAAACAAGCAAAAATTCAGGAACCGCTTAAAACAAAACAAAATGCAACAACATGTATTATGGCAATTTAACCACTGCATGATCTTCCTGTTTTAATTTGTTTTTAAACTACATCTATATTTTTATTATCAAAGTTTTCTTAAAAGTTTTTTCAAACCCAATTGTTAAACCGCGTCCTGTAAGATTTTTCTTTCATTAGCGTGGCTAGCAGTTACAGCTGCATGTCTCCTAATTGTTTTAACATAATTAACAATTTTAAAAAATGTTGTAGGGAAAACATTTTTTTAACATTTTCATTTAAACTAAAATCAAGGAAACAGAGACAGATTGTTCTGTCCTTTTATGTTAAACTTGAAGGGTTTTAAGTGCAGTTTTAACATTTTTCTTATTTTATTTTTGTAATTTATGGGACATATTCTTCTCTAACTTACACCCCAGGCAACCCTATAGATTTCCATGTATGGTCACACGGCCCCATTTCATCAAAGCACATAAGCACATGCTTGACTCCCCTTGACTTCAGAGATTTAAGCATGTACTTAAGGGATTTCCTGAAATGGGGTCTATAACAGCATAGAATCTGGTTCTATATCAGTAATTTGTGGAGGGGTGGAAATTATTTCATGCACTTAAGACCTATTTCAAAGCCTGTTAAAGCCAATGGAATTAGTCACATTGACTTCATTGGGCTTTGGATCAGGCCCTTGATGATATATTGGAGATTAAGACACAATCATATCTCCTCCCTGCAGCCTAAATGTGATGCTAAAAATAACTTATAACAGTTGCAATGCCCTGAAGTTTAGGAAAAGCAGAACAAAATCTTCTCTGGTTTCCTTTAAAGAAATTCCTGCTGATAAAAGGGGGTGATGGTTGGACTCAAATCTAGCATTTTCTGTGTTGATTCAGACTACAGATCTTACCAAAATACTCCAAAGAAGAAAAGCAATATACTGTAAGATGGATAAATACCCTTTACATTGTATTTTCCACTTCCTTATCTCAGGGGTGTAGCAAATTGCTCTCACCAGCCTGAATTGTGGTGGGGACTAGAGGAACTTTGCTAACTGCAATTAAAATATTTTCATGTGAAGGGTCTGATCCTGCAAAGTGCTGTGCACATTCAGCTCCCATTGACTTCACTGAGAGCTGACAGCATTCCCCACCACACAGGATTGGAGCCCTACCTGTGCAATGTGTGACTATAGTAAAAATATTTGTAGAGCAATATTAACCCATTACGAGCAGTGGGAGGAGTTCAATTAAGGTGGATAGGTCTCTTAGCCAGTGGGGATTTACAGAACATTTCATTTGAGCCAACTAACAAAGAGAGAATGAGATAGTAGTGTTGAGAAAATGCTCATTGAGTCTCAACGGGTTGCCCTGTTAATTTGCGTGAGCCGATTAAAAAAATTAAAGTTTGACATTAAAAAGTGGATAATTTTGTTTCAATAATTTCAAATTGATAAAGTCCCTTTAACAGTAAAGAAAACAATTGCCTCACTTTTGTTAAAACAGATGCATGTCTGACTCCGTGATGCAGTTCATGTGCTTGAGAAACCTGTCCTTGTTTTGTTTACTTAATCTTTTGGTTTTTCTTTGAGTCCTTTATTTTATGCCCTTGCTTCTCCAAGTCTGAGCTTTTAAGCATGCCAAGGCATTTTCATTTGTAAACCATCCCAAAGTTTTGACCTGGGGTTTGCTATTCTGTGGATGACGATGCTTTGTTAAAAGACAATCACAAAAGGGCAATGGGGTCTAAGGTTGGTCTCGGAGAACCCAGGCAAACTCCGGGCATGGGGCGTGTTTGTGCTAGAAGGACATAGAATGTTTTTGTTAACATAAAAGAAAATTGAGTCTTGGCAATTGGTGTGATATAAAGACATTGTGCACTGTAACAGTGTGACAATGATAGAATATAGTTTTGTTCCACCATACCAAGATGGATGTATCCTTTTAAATAACATGGTTACCACTTAGCGGAAAGATTTAATAAGTAACCATTCACCCATCCACTCGTCCATTCACTTACCCACTCAGTCATCCACCCGGTCATCTATCCATCTCCTAATGTATCAAGAAAGCCGTTTGTCAGAAGCCCTTGTAAAGATGATGAGTGAAAGGGTAAATAGCTATCAAAATACAGCATGATAAATTGATGGATGGATAGACTGATCAAAGAAACAGCATATAGAATAGCTCTCTGCCAGGTGTGACTTCTTGGCATGAATAAGGTAAGATTAAACAATTTTCAATTAGCATGAATTTCTAAAAATTGCCATAGATATGGCGCTGATTTGATTGCACTGTCACTTTATTCAGAATGATCATATAGTTCATTCTTGGAGAAACAATATAATAGAGAACCTTTCTGAATGTTCATCTACTAGAAGAGTTAAAGCTACTGTCCAGTGTCACCAACACAGGGAGAAAAGTATTCATGTTTATATTGTTTTTTAATTTTTAGTTTTATAAACTGGATTTTAAAAATCTAATAAAAAGCAGCCTATCTTGCAAACTTTATTCATATGAGTAGACCTAGTAACACCTGAATACAGCTGACTTCATTGGGATTATTCATGTGAGTAAGGAATGGAGAATTGGGCTTAATCTTCTCAATGCATATATTGATAACAAGACCAGAATTGGTCAACAAAATGCATTTGAGCCTGCTAGCATTCAAGGGTTTGACCAGGTGAGGAAGAGAAGTAGCCATAAGCACTACGACAAAAGGACTGATCCTGCAAATCCTTGCTCACAAAAATAATTCTTACTCATATGAGTAATCTCATTGAGTTGAATGGTCCTACTTGCATGACCAGTTGCTGCTCATGTGAAGTAGGCTTTTTAACAGTGCCCCTAAACTCTGACTTAGCATTATGGAACAGATACTGTCGCCTAAGATTTCACTGACACTGAAAGGGGGAAATTCTTCGTAAGAATTTTTTTGGTGAGCATAGAAATCAAAATGAGAGAGTGAACAAATAGTTCACTGAGACATAAAACCTTGAGTTGTGCAAAGTTTTATGCAACAATTAGAAAATCTTAACATACATTTGCCACTTTTGCAACCCCTATTAATAAGAAAAGCCTAATAAGTAGAGAGCTAGGTGGAAAATAAGGATCCAAGTCTGCAACGCTTACTCACATTGAGTAGCACTTATTCAGGTAAGTCATGCCTTTGGAGTCAAAAGGACAATTTGTGAGAGTTAGTTCTACTCAGTGTGAATAAGGATTGCAGAATTAAGCCATAGATAAACTAGAAGAAGGGAGGTCTGACGTGGCTCTGGAATTCTGCATATTTCTTCTTTTGGACATTTTTCTTTCATTTCATCCACTTGCTTCTTTATGCTTATTCAAGTACAGACACCTCACACCAGAGTTGTGAGTTAGGAATGATTCTTCATAGAGAAACCCAACAAGTGATTGTCCTTTTAGCAAGCACAGCTTTAGTACCAGTGCTGTGTTCGGTAGTAGCTGCATGCATTGTGTTCAGCTCTTGGACTAGAAGAGCTCATTATTCAAAAGGAAAACACAATAAAGTTCATACTTTACTGGAATGGGGCCATGCCCATGTGGTAGGTGTTCCTAGAATATTAGAGGGCAGAGAGAACTGAGAAGTGGTGAAGAAGGTAGAATATGTGTCAACATTGGTGTGGTGACTCGTTGTCTCTGACAAGAAAATGGAGCTATCCTAGACAGTTGTAAGGATGTGTTATGGGCATGGGTTAAAGTAAAAGGAGAGCATCAGCGAGTCCAGCTACCCTCCTCTACTAAAAGCATAGAGAGAGCACTCCACTTCTCTTCATCTTCCTGGCTCGGGGAGCTCAGCTACCTCTCATCACTTGTGGGGGCAGCAAGGACTCACCGCACATTGGAATCTGAAATGGGAACAGCAGGAAGAGCTGGGGACTGGCTGAGGAAATTGCTGGGTCTTCCACCACTGAGGGGAGAAACAGCGACACCTGATAAGAGAAGTGATGTTCCCTATCTGTCTCTACTACATTCAGATCTGCCTCCTCACCAGCCCCCTTCCCTACCCTCCAGATTGATAGAGGAAAAAGGAGACCCTGGTTCCCTGCTGCACGATAGAAGGGGTTAGAAATGGAAACATCTGGTCCCTCATCAGCTCTCCCTCCATTACAGGAGGACATTATCTCAAGTGTAGCAAAATGGCCCTGTCATCTCTTTTATCCCTCCAGGCACGCCCCCCTGAGGGGAAGGGCAGCGGGAAGAATGTGGTGCTTAATTTGTAATGAAACAGGTGCTGGGGCTCAAGCAATCTTTTTTACTTTCATAACTGATGCGGCAAACCCAGATGAGTCGGGGCTATGAACTGCTAAATCTAGTGGTGCCGGAGCTCAGCCCTGCCACAAATTACGCACTGGTGACACAAGATGGAAGTGAGTGAGGAGGAAGGAAAGGGCAGCATGGGAGGAAACATAATGGGAAATTGAGAGAATATGGGAGAGAGGAGAGGAGATGCAGAGCAGAGTGATAGATGGAACAAGGTAGTCATAGGAAAACTGAAACACTAATGGAATGAGTGGAGTGACATAAAATAAGGAAGAAAAGAAAACTCAAGGGACATAGTAAGTCACAAGAATATAAACTGTTGTACAGTATCTTTGATGCCAAACTGTGCATTATTGTTTGCACTAGATCTCAGGGGAGTGCTTGCAAACAAAGAGGGGGCTTCAGAGAGCTGTATTTTGATAGGAGTTGCTCACAGGAACCAAGTATGCTTTGAGATAGGAGAGGGGATAAGCTACTTTGGTTTTACATGGTGGGGGGCCTGTGGTTTTGGTGCATGTTTGTTGATGTTTTAGTGGAACATAACTTGCCTCTGGTAAGTTAAAATCTCCTGAAATGCAGGAAAATGCATCAGATATTTCAACATTTTCCAGGGAAAAGATGCAGTGCTCCCTCCATTTTTATTTTTCGATTTTACATCAGTACAGATCCTCCATCCTGGTCAAGTCTAAATGTTGATATTTATAGGTATGGGGGTGGGGAGCACTAGGGATGTGCACCCCGCCCCCACAACTCCATACATTACACATACACATACACTTTTGCTTGGCTGGCTAGCGCCCTCCTTGGGGACAGGAACTCCTTTCAGATACATTTCTTCTCTTGTCCCCATTCTCTTCCCCATGGTCCATCCCGTCACCATAAGATGATGCAACACCGCATCACCACTTGACTTCAAGACCCGTCACGACGACCACCAAAATTGGTGAGCTCCCCCTCCTATTTTGATCTACTTTAACCACTGGCTTTGAGGGAATGAACAGTGGGATATAGGCTATGCTCTACTACATTCTGCACTTATCAGGTTGGACTAGAGAAAGAAAGTGGTGAGTGAGAGAGGGGAGAGGGAAGGGATGGGGACGTGTGCACATATTGTAAGAAAGGGGTGGTGGAGGGAAAACATATTTGAATAATCCAGTAATAATTGATTTGACTCTGCTTTGATTACCCTCCTGAGCTCTGGCCAGTCTGGTTCCCTGTTAATTCAGCAGATTCCATTGGCATGCCCCAAAACCTCACACAGAGAGTGAGATGATAAACATTTCGTTTGCACTGGACACAACAATCATGGCTTCAATTTAATCAACCCAATGCAGCATGGAAAAGTGGGCCATATTTATGAATCAATTTTGTCTGGATGTCACTTGAATGGTCTGTGGGATTAGGAGAATTGGCAGCTGTTTCTAGGGTCCATTCTGAATAGGTACATTCCTTCTGCAAACATGATATGAAATCCATACCTGACACGTCTTGTGTGACCTTGGGCAAGTCACTTAACCTATCTAGGCCTCAACTTCACCATCTATAAAAATGGGATTAACATTGAGCTACCTCACAGGAGCGTTGTGAGAATTAATCACCTTAATTACTGTATTGTTCACTATTCAAAGAACTTTGCTCTTTCATAGCACCAGAAATGTCCATGTTTGGCGTTTCCAACTTTTAGATTCCTGATCCTTTCTGATAACTATATTCCAGACCCAGACTCTTGCATTCTGGTATTCTAAATTCCCCATGCAGTCCAAAGATCAACTTCTCTTAGAGTATCTCTGTATCTTACCCTTTCCTATCTGTTCACAGATGCCCTTCCCGTTGACCATTCAGAGATCAAAGATATATATGTGTATATACATTGGGCTAAGCCTAGAGAGATTTTATCATCTGGGTTGGTTTTCAGTCTCCAAAACCTACTAGAGGAGACTAACAGATTAAAACATTGGTTGTAATGAAAGATGGGCCAACGTTTCAGTTAGGATCCAGATCTATGGTTGGGTCCAAACTTCCCCAGAGTTTAGTTGTACGTATGGAGGTGAGAGTGAGAGGTTCTAGAGCCGGTGTTTAGGCCCATCTCTACTATTGAGTCTGAGACAGAAATTTGCAGCACTGCATTTCCACCCAACAACCTCCACCACCGCCACTGGGGAACCTGCTCTTATCTTCAGTCCACTCTGGCCAGGACTCAGTGTATGGTAAAGAAGGGAGGGGAAATGTCTGGCAATAATTTATTCACCCCCCTTCACTAGGACGACAGTTAACGATCTTCAACACCCAGGCGCAAATAGCCATTGGAGGGAAGGACAGAGGGCGTCCCTTCCAAGGCCAGCTCTCCGGTCTCTATTACAATGGCTTGAAAGTGCTGAATATGGCAGCAGAGAACAACCCCAATATTAAAATCAACGGAAGTGTCCGGCTGGTTGGAGAAGTCCCGTCCATCCTTGGAACAACACCCACAACCTCCATGCCACCAGAAATGTCTACCACAGTCATGGAAACCACCACAACCATGGCCACCACAACTACCCGAAAAAACCGCTCCCCACCCAGCATCCAGGTGAGCCATTTGATCTCCTCCATGTGGTTGGATTTTTATTTATACTTCATTGTTTAGTTAACCTGTTAGTTAAGTCCCTTGGACCAAATTCTGCACTGAGTTAGAGGCCATATAACTTTGTTGACTTTCATGAGGTTGTACAGGGTAAAAACCAACACAAAATTGGGCTCCTTTCTGCTCTGGTGAACTAGCAGAAACTTCTGCATTATTACTCGGTATGTATGTAATAGTGGGTCCAAATTCTACTCTCAGACTGGTGCAACTCTATTTATATCAGCGATGCTGCACCAGTGTAGATGAGAATATGATTTGGGCCATGTTATCTCCAAGTTGATGTGTGGGGGAAAAATTACACTTAAAGGAATTTCAAAAGCCTAATGGGATGTGGATAGATTATTGTTTATTATTATTGCCATAGGTATTGCTGCAGTCGTGAAGTTCTTAATGTGGAAAAAAGCAAATGAGAGTATAGCATTCAGAGCGAGCCATTCATGCTAATCTTACAGCCTTCTATTGGATAATGTGAAAGGGGCACTGTCAGATCAATTTCCTCCAAAATTTAGGTTTTGTAAAAACAAGCTTTTCCAAACTCTGTGACCAACAGAACTCTAAATTTGAGTTTAAAAAAGTCCACTGGAAACAGTTTTTTGTTCATATTTAACTGTCCTGATGTAGTGTTTGTAACCCAAAAAATTGCAGCAGTTTTGTTCTTGTGTCAGAGCCTGAGTGTGGAATTGCTCATGCTCTGGTTTGCTCATGGTCTACACTGAGTAAAGGTAAAATGTAAACAACCAACACTGATGTTGAAAAGTGAATTAGATTTTAGTGAATTAGATTTTTATTAATTCTTTCAGTAACCGATGATGAGGTTAATAACACAGGTAAGGGAATTTGACTTTATAATATATATGGGGCCAGACCCACAGCAGATGAAAATCAACATATTTCCATTCACTTCAGCTGTGCAACACCAATTTACACTAGCTAAGAATCTGGCCCATGATTTTAACTGGAGTATTCCATTAGCGAAAGGGGTGGGGGAGGTGTGTTATTGTCCAAATAGATAATATCCTACATTGATTACAGCTGCTTCTTTGAGACAACTTTCCTTGAGCATTAATGTTGGTGGGTTTTGGGAAATGCAGGTTTAATGAAATCCAGGGCTGTCAGAACTGGTGATATAAGATCCTCTGCTTGCTCTGATTCAGAAGGTTTAATCAATGACTGGTTATTCTTTTGTCTATATTTTCATTCTCTTAATTTTTCATCTAATCGTGGTCATGTATGATGAGAAAACATGAAAATCCTCTACTTAGCTATGCTGGAGGAATTATCTTTGCAGAGGCATTTACTCCTATTCAATTGAAAGTGATTAAACCCAGGCTAAGGCTTAACACTGTACTGGCCCCCTTGGCATTCTAGAAATCCAGGCAGGAGCGGGTTGGTAGATTAATTGAGTTATTAGCCTCAAACACTGGTGCATGAAATATAAAGTCTCAACTACATGAGGGGAAATTATCCCAAGTCTAGTTGATGTTCGTTGTAAATTGTGAAGGAATTAGGACTCTCTCTTCTCTGTGTCTAGCTCTAATTTTAAAGGAAGGCTTTGTATGATTTCATGTCCAGGAGAGTAACATCTGTGAGCCAAATTCTGTTATCTGTTACTGTGCTCCAGTGGAGATCTGCCATAATTTGTGGACCTCAGTGGAATTATACAGATTTACATCAGCGTAACTGAGAGCAGAATTGGACTTTATGTGAGCTGAGCAAAGCTGGAAATGATCCTACCCCACTTGAAGGAGAAATATCCCAGAAAGCTGCCTGCCTAATCTACACCGGAGTTCACTAGGCCAGTCGAGACCACTGTGTGCTGAAAAGGCATCAAGGAGATTTAATAAAGTGTAGAAGTGCCTCTAAAAAGATGGTTAGAGCAGTGATTTCCTGGATACACACGTACAACAACAAATGGCCTCATCTCTGCTGATATTAAAGCAATAACTCTTGACACTTCACTCAACCCACTGAAAGGAAGATAAAAGTCAATATGTACTTCCATTACATTCAGGAGCAGGCCAGTTTATTGCTATCATGTCACAAGATGGCTTTCCTTTTCCCCACTTTGGGCAGAGTTGTTTGGTTCTGTCAGCTTAAGTTGTGTTGTTTGTATGGTGAAGGTGGGGGGAAATTGTCCTCTTCTACTTGGGCTGCATCTCCAGCTATAGTTTTCAGCAGCTCCAGCTGTGGTTTTCAGATGCCTTGTGGTAATTATGACTCACAATAGTCATCATTAGTGCTGTGAAATTTGGCAGCACCACTAACAACCATAAAGATAAGAGATGGAAAAGATCTAATAAAGCAAATTCATTCTTCAGCTAGGGTAAGATAGAGCCACCTGAGAGAACACATTAGCACTCAGTTACTACATTGACGAGCCCAGCATAAAAACTAAGATAGCTACAAAGTTGCTACACTTGCAATTAGGTATGGGGCTTCTGTCCTGATTGTAGTATTCATTTTCCTATTTAAGTAACTGAAAAACCTTCATTTCACAATGTATATGAAGCTGCTGCAGAATTTCCAGTCTAACATATCAGAGCATTGCTAAATCCAGGGAACCTGTGGCAGTATTTAAGTCCAACTTGCCATGCAGTATATAGGGGCTTGACAGTTGCTAAGATATCCTCTACTCCTAATGCCACACCTAGATGCTCCCTTTGCTCAATTACTTAGAGTACCACTACAAGTGTTTTCATGTGCGGTTCATCTAAAGGGCCTAGGAAATCTGGAAAGATCTTTAAATCTACAGAGAGAGAGAGAGAGAGACCCACAGTCACACTTCTCAATCTGTAAAGGGCCAGGCATGGGATACAATGTGGGATCACTAGCCAACATGAGGGACATGGGAAAATCATGTTACTGGAAGCATCATGTGTGAAAGATTTCTTTAGCATCAGTGATGTCTATAACTTCACCTTTATGATTAAGCATTTCTGATGTCAATAATTTATGTCAGTGGACGTGAGATGAGTGTGGGATAGAGGACGGTGCATTGGCAAGTCTATGCTTAATGCTACTAAGAAATGGCAATGACCCTTGTCTGTTACAATGGAGCCTTGAAGGAAGATGCATTTAGTCTCCCAGAATTGTGCTTTCCTGCTAATTGAAAACCAAAACTGGGGAAAGGAGTTTTGTTTCTTTATTTGTTTCAAAGCAGTTAATACAGTATTTTTGCATCCAGATAACTAAGCTGTGTCTGGCAACCCTGAGTACAAATGCTGTTTTGACCTTTTCACACACAGGTTTTGCACTGCATTCAAGCACAGGTCTGTTCAGAAGTGACGTGTGTTGTATTAAATTACACTTGCAGACTGCAGGGCCCTGACACACCAGGCCCTCCTATATTAATAATATCCTCTCTGGGAGCTCCGCTTCCCCACGCTACCACAAAGGGCAGAGAGGCAAGCAGCTGTCTCTTGCTTAAGGTGAGTTGCTTGGAGTGCAGGCTATTTTTATGAGTGTCATGACATTGTCTCATGTCAGGAGGCACATTATTTCTAGCAGGTATGTTCTTAATTAGAAGTCTTGTTTCTATTGTTTAAGTCTTTGAACCCCACCGACCTCCCTACCTAATTTAGGAAAGGGCTGGAGTTTATGTGAAAGAACTCTGTGGTTTGTAGATTTAAGAGATTTCTATTCTGTCTGAAAACGTGCTTAGCTAGAGATGGCCTTCATTTTCCTGGCTTTTGCTGCCAATCTGGCTACTATAAACTGATATTTACCAGCTTGGGGCTTATTGAGTGAGTTGCCACTTCAAACAGCATTGGAGAAGACCTTCACTATGCGACCTTGGTCTGTGTGTTCCATCCAGGACAGGTCTAGAATCACTACTGAGACCAGCCCTAAAGTCCTTACTCAAGCAACAGTCCTTTTGAAGTCAAGTACTGGGTAAGGATCTCAGGATTGGACCCCATAGAACACTTACCCAGGGCCAATAACACAGTGTGTTTAGTGACCATTTAGATCTAAGTATAAGGAGAAAAATGGTATCACCTGGATTGGTCTGTCTCAACCCTACCTCAGGTGTAGTTCCATGGATACAGAGAATAAGAAAAAACTATGTATGTGAGTAAAGATTACATCATTTGTAATAGGGAGGAAGTATTGCCTCATTATTAAGGCATAGTACAAGGAATCAAGAAGTCTGTGCTCTGCTGCAGACATACCGTGTGACTGGTGCAAGTCTCTGTGTCTCGGTTTCCCTATTTGTAAAAAGAGGATAATGAGACTCTCCTGCCTCACAGGAGTAGCTGGGAGGATAAATTAATTAATTGTTTGTGCGAGCTCTCAGGAATGGTGCTGAGTGCTAGAGAATGCCAACAAATAACATAAAATACTGGAAGGTGCTTGTAGAAAGTTCTATATAAACAATGCAAAGCAGGGGGTGGAAGACTGTCCATTATTAATGTCAAGAGTCCATCTGCATTGGCTCAGCAAAGGGCGCCTCGGCTCACAGTCTTTTACTCTAACCACTAGTCTACACAGCCTCTTAGGAACATTTTCTTTAGGTTCAGCGCTCCTTTAATCTTGATTAACGTCCTTCCGTAATGTGTGGCTCTGGGGCTGAATCTTGCCTCATACAGCTCGCAAAGGAGAAAAGCACAGAAGATTTGTCAGTCTAATTAGACTTTAACTGTCAGCCAAGAAAAATACATTTGTCTCCTTCTTGCTTTAGCACAGGCACTACTTTCTTTTGCCCTCTTAGATAATAATTTTGGGGGAAGAAAATTGGCCTCTAATTTCCTCTTCGCTTGTTATGAGTCTCCAGTGATATTTTCATTCAGAGACGCCACAGTTCTAATGAATAAAGAGCTTGCACTTTAAAGACTGACTTCACTGGCCTATTTGTACTGCAGAAAATTAGGCAGCTTGTTTTTCCACCTGCTTTCCTTCTCTTTCCTGAACTTTTTTTTTCAATGCAAAGAGACTAAAGCTTCCAAAAC